CATGTGTGTGTTATGTAGTTATGTATACGTATTTATGTATACATCCACCTATTCTTACTCAACCGCCAGGACTTAGTGGAGACTATCAATAGCACACACGTCAACACAAGCTACTTAAAAGACTTCACTCTGGATGATCACATCACAGCCTCGACGGACATTGCGCATGTGCTGGAGTCTGGTACGGGTATTGTGATGGTGTGCATACCCACACCTTTCTTCCGACAGTTCTTAGTAGACAACTTGGACCAATTTCCTCGCGGCGTCCCGATTGTTTGCTGCAATAAGGGGATTGAAAAGGTATGATATGTATTTCTGTGTGCTTTTAGAAGTGGAGGGAAAGGTAGGTATTTGTGTTTAAGATGGCGTGATGGTTCAGTTTATGTGTATAGTTTTAAAAGTAGAAAACCTCTGTATTTAATTTCACGATAGTATGATGTATCAATTTATTAATATATATATATACACCAAACATATACACATACTAATACATACATACATACCATATACACACGCTAATACATATACACCTACCATATACACACGCTAATACATATACACCTACCATATACACACTAATACATATACACCTACCATACACACGCAAATACATATACACCTACCATATACACACGCTAATACATATACACCTATCATATACTCACACTAATACATACACACACACTAATACATATACAGCTACCATATACTCACACTAATACATACACACACACTAATACATATACATCTACCATATACACACAGTAATACATACACACACACTAATACATATACACCTACCATACACACACTAATACATACACACATACAAATACATATACACCTACCATATACACGCTATTACACACACACACACTAATACATATACACCTACCTTACACACACTCTAATACATATACACGCACGCGTATCACCGACTCTGCAGGACAGCTTCGAAACGCCCTACGAGATCGCTATAAATGAAATGCCTGGAGCGTACCACAAGTATCTCGGCTGTCTGGCGGGCCCCAGTTTTGCGCAAGAGGTTGTGTTGGATTTACCTACCAATGTGACTGTGGCCGCGTCCACTATGAAGTCTGCCAGACTCATCCAGACGATTGTCAGTGACAATTCATTCCGAGCATACGCCACTACAGGTAGGTCGTGACTCACTCACTGGCTGGTGTGTGTTGATAGGGGTGGTGTAGCCTACTGTAGCCATGCTTAGAACTAGCTCTGTGCAGTTGTATATGCTATACAGAGTTGGGATGAAGTATGGAGTTATAGCTTGTATATGTTATAGTGCTCACATTTGATCGTTTAGAGGCTGTTGGAGGTGATACCACGAATATCGCGTGCATATGCATCGCGTATCGAAGGGTCGTAAGAGTCCAGAAATTTGTTATCAGGACACACTCTACGTTGGTGTGTATGAGAGGGACCGCTAGTATGTGCCTGATGTGGGAGTACCACCACATCAGAAAGCTGAACTAGAACGCATGTGGGTCTGAAGTGATTGTATATACAGTTACTTGTCGATGTCAGAGATACTGGCGCGCGAATAGGTGATGATTTGCGATGACTAATGTTAGTGTGTGGCATGTAAGTCATGGCTAATGTTAGTGTTTGGTAGGTAAGTTATGGCCAATGTTAGTGTGTGGTAGGTAAGCTATGTGTCCCGGTGCGTGGCAAGGCACCTGTCGCCACATAGTGATCCTGCTAATGGAAATAGGTGTGTGCAAGATTGTCACTGGTGACTGAATAGCTAGCATGGTGTGACTAAGTTTGCAATGTAACATCCTATCTCCACCACGGGTGAGCCTGATATGACGACTCAGAGCATTTGTCCATATTAAAGCCCATGCCATCATACAAAGTGCGCTGGAAGTATCTGACTTCAGGTGCTCTGTCCTGGTGCCATCTTTAGGACTCATTTGCACCTCCACGAATAGCTATGTAGTGGTTACATCTTTCTCTTTCGATAGCGGGAGCTGAGGTTCATTCTTGTGATCCCTTCGCTCACAAACCTACTGCATACCCTTGGATATGTTGCCACAGTTATATGTTTTAGTTTCGTAAAGGAGCCTATCATTAAAATATATATATATATATATGTATATATATATATATACATATATTGC